ATAATATATTTAATTAAAGTATATATTTATACAATGATGAGAGCATATAACAAAGCATATAAACAAATATAGCTAAAAAAAACAAATTAATTGCAAAATTGATTAAAACGCTCACCATTTCGCGATGTCCCTCGACGTCCACCGATGCATCTTCCGCTGCAATTATATCTGCAATACTACTCGGAAGTGATTCAGGAGTCTCTGCGTCGTTCCATATCGATTGCACTTCATTTCACTTCACTTAATACGTGAAACTCGCGACACGAAATTCGCGGAATTGCAATTTTAACAAATTTAGTAACTCACGAATTTAATAATTAACAAGTATTTATCGTAAAACGAAATTTGTGCAAACTTGGTTAAGGAGTTCTATATGTCTGTTGTATTTCATTTTACGTCACTTCATTTCACGCACAATGCACTCGCGACGAGAAATCCACGATTTGATTTGCAAATTTATTTAAGGAATATTTATAACAAGATACAAAATTTATAAAGTTTTTTAAATTATAATTTATCATAAGGTACTTATGAATTACGTTTAAAGCACTTTTATAGCGAAACAAAATTGGTTTAATATAAATTCACATTATTTCGCAACATTTTTACGAAAATTATTTCACTTCGCAATACCTCTTCGCAAAGATTTTTCCTGCAGTATTCCTGTAAAGATCGTCGCCTCGTAATGTGTTACGAAGCACAATTCCGCAATCTTTTTGCGAATGTCATTTAACGGAAATCATGGAAATTAAAACGTGCATAAAAATCCAAATTTAAAAATCTAAAAAATTTCTGATGTTACACCGCTAAATGATATTTCTATTCTTATATATATTAGAAGCGAAATACTAAAAAAGTGTATAAATAAAAGATAGGAATTAAAAAAAAACATTGAATTGTGCGTGTGTAAGAAGAGAATGTGGCCAGAATAATTACACGAAAAATTTTCTCTCTTGCGCCTAATTTAATTAGTAACACAAATAATATAAATAGTTAAGTTAGAAGTTACAGAAAGTAAACGAAAAGAATAAGAAACAAAAATCGCGAAATTAAATAAAAAATGAAAATCTCAATTTACAATAAAGATAACAATAAAATTTATAAAGCTCAGACGTCGATTTCGATGTTAATTGCAAGAAAGATCTATGCTGAAAATTGAAGCACCGAGGGTAGATATAAAATTCAATTGCGACTGTAAATTTATTTGTATAATTATAATTTATAAAAATAAAGTAATAATGTATATTATAACAAAACAATCCTATTTTAAACTATTTATTTTAATGAATATTTTTTAAAGCAAAGAAAATATCACTTGTACTTTTTTCCACTCGGCATTTCGTATGTAAAAATTCGTACTTGCATGCAAAAATCTACCCCGCGAAATGAATCGCACTGATTTCAGATTCCGGAAAAAAAACCATCACTCGTACTCTAAATTATACTTACCAATACTTCGTCTACCCAAAACCAACTACATACATCTTGAATCTGGATCTACAACAAAAATATAATGTCGGCAATTAAGTTAAACGAAATTGGCAAAGACAAGTTTAAATTATCTTTTACAATAACTAAAAGTCATACTTTTAAAAGTGTACTTTTAAAATATGTAACCTTGAATGAATGTAAAAATTTAAAATATTATTTTCACGGATTGTATTGATAGTCAAAATAATAGAATTTATTAATATAGTATACTCTTTAAAACTTTTAGAGTGAATCTCACTGAGGAGTAAAGTTTCACTTTTAAAGATTAAAAATTGAGATTCTCTTTTTCAAAACTGGCTCAATTTTTACTCATTTAGAGTGAAATTCCATTCCAAAGAATTTAGAAAGTATAAATAATATAATTTATTTATCTCACGTGTAGCTCCGCCATTGTCCGATCCCACCTCGTCCTCCTCTCAGTTCCTTCGTTGCTGTTCCTTTGCTGTGTCTTGTTGATGTTTGCCCGATGCTTACTCGGAAAAAGACGATTGATTACGATCACGCGATACTTTACTCTGGCACTTCCGATATTAACTGTATGCGACACGCACTTTATTATGACGAAACAACAGCGCGAAAAACGGTACGAATAGTTACAATACGCTCGAGGCCGTGAGATGTCCAAATAGTGGAACAGACAGGCGAGATAATCGAGAATTGCGTAGCCAACTTCAAACGCTAACGTCGCCAACCGTCGCGCCGCGCTAGCTGCGACGATATTGCCCTTAGCTGCACTTCATACACCTTCCAAACTTCCTCTTTCTGTAACAATACGTTTTAGGGCTACAATCGTATTACGAATGCAACTAAAAATACTGCAAATTAAGACTGCAAATACACATCCTTGGAGCATAATATTCAAATATGATCCTCGCTTTGCCGATTGTTTGTACAATATTTTTCGTTTAAATAAGCATTGCCTGTGCACGATCTTATTACAATCTACATGATTGATAAATATGACAATGGAAGGCTGTGTCAATAAAACTGTACCTACTACTTAAATGCGCCGTGACATCGATTGAATCGGATTCGGTCAATTCTTTCTGTATCCGTAATCTTCCGTAAATGCTCTGATAAATATTTTTCTTAAAATTTTACATGTAACCTTTCAGAATTTTTATATAAATTTAGAATTTTTTAGAACTTTTACATAATTTACAAAAATTTTTCAGATTTTTTTATAGAAAATGAAATACATTTCAGAAGTGTTGAAAAAGTCTACATACTTTCTAGAATTTTTCACGTATTTGAATTCTGAAATATTCTAGAATTTTAGAATTTTCCCCCATTCTATAATTTCCGCAGAAAACTCTTATAAAATTTGAAAAAGTTTAAGCTATTTTTCCAGAAATCTTCATAAATTTGGAAGTATGACAAATTCTTAAAAATACTACGAGATATAAGAATTTTTTTCACCATGGTCGTTAAAAATTACGAGAATCAGATCATCAATTTTATATTAATATTACAATATTACATGAAAACAAGTTAACGGTTAGACGATGTTCAAAATTATATAATCGAAATTAACATTCCTCATGTGATGCATCTCTGATGTACGAAATGTTACTAATAAATATAATTAATTAATAACAGTCGATGTGTCGCGATTTCCTTTACTTGCATCTTCCAACGATTCGCATATTAATACTCAAGCTTTTAAATCAGAAACGATAGGCGCCGTGATATAATTAAATGATGAAAAATTCAAAGAACGACGCGAAATTCGGTATCAAGTATTGTCAAGAAAGAAATTATCGAGCGTGACCAAACAATTCCCATTTCCAGTCGCTTTAACCGAATAACAATGTTTTAAACGAATAACTCGGCGTGAATTATCTGCCTCGAGACAAGTAGCCATTGCGTAGAGATGCTTACGAGTCGTTAGTCGTTGGGGAATTGATTATTCACAAAGGAACTGACAATCGCTAATTGTTCGCGGGGAATGATCACGTTTCGAGAAGTAATGCGACAACACGCAGAGCAACTCACGCTGCTTGGCTGCCGGCTCGAGTCTCAACGGGCGAATGATAGCGCGACGACCTTGCGTAAACAACACGGCACGGCGCGCCGTACGTTACAATAACAAACACAAGACCTCGCGCCGACCGAACTATTCGAAAAAATTATTAAAAACGTTTTGATTTGAGAAATAGAATGTAAACGGCGAATATTTCTGCTCCTTCCGTATTTTGGATTAATTAATCGCCTTCTCATCTACTCCCGTACTCGAAGTGTTAAACGTTTATATCGATCAAAATTATTAGTTTAGTAATATAGTAAAGAATTGAAGTTCATAAAAGTAGTTAAATAATTTAATGTTTCTGTTAAGTATAATCTGATAAGAAAGAAATAGTTATTCTTTCTTGATTTTCTAACTTTGAAGAGTATATTTTAAAACTATTCTAATATTTTTAAAGAATGAAAATAAGAAGAAATAAAAAAGTTGTAATTGTATGATGAAATAATGAAAAGTGTACGGTTTCCAACAATCTTCGTAAAAGAATTTAAGATGAAAAATGAACATTTTCATTATAAAGAATTAAAATTATGATGTACATGTCATAAGACATAAACTCACAATTAGATTCTCTACCGAGAATGCAGAAAGTGTAAAAATTTATTCTTGCCGTAATCCGTTCAATATTTCATAATATACATTTCACTTTAGTTCAACATTATTTACACACGCGAAATATTTTTAAACTTATTTATTATATAATTGTAGCAATACCATCGCAATTTATTCTTATTTTGCATGTCAATCATCGCCTCCTATGTAGCGAAACATATAGTAAATTAATATTATTTAATGTTATTTATTTATAATAATATCAATAGTAATGTAATATTTTTTAGTAAAAGAATTTAAAACGAATAAATGCAACAACAATATACACAACTTCAATATAAAAATAAAAAGTCGATATATTATAAAATTTAAAAAATTTTATATAATATATACATACATACACGTACAACGAGTACAAAAATTATTCATGAAAGAAGGTAGCTTTAAAAAACTTATTTTTGAAAAGTAATTAATTAGCGATTTATTAATAAAAAATAATAATTACCTTATGTATCTCAAAATTATTTTATCTAAAAAAAAATTAAAATATATCATCTAAAGACAAGCGAAAATGAAAAATTGTATCGTTTAAATATTTTTTGCACTCATCATATACATACATACATATATTCACATTATACAAATTCTATAAAATATATGTATATAACAGAATTTTCTTCGAATGTACTATGAAATTTATAAAAATTATTAAACATTAAATTATTTTTACTAAAGCAACCTATTAATAAGAACCTATTATATCAAATTTTAATGGATGCATATATAAACTGCAATATTATTATTAAATTATTAATTGTTATTAATTATAGTTATATTAATATAAATTCTTTATATACGTTGTACCGAATATTCAAGCATGGTTCATTAAATAATTATATTTTCCTACGAGAAATATACAATGAATGAACTATATATCGATATCAATATAACCGATATATTGTAGACTATAAATAAAAATATCCACGTCTCACAATATTAATTATTAACATTATATAGTAATTGCAATGTACATCGTATGTATCATTATGTGATAAAGAAAGTCTAGTTTCATTATTTTAAATTTTACCATAAAATTGGGAAGTCTTATGGTAGAAATGCAGAATTGTAATACTATTGTAGTACTATTGTAACAACACTCTATTGTTCTGGTTAAAGAATCGTCTTACATATTTCAACGCGTTAAATATTATCGGCGATGCGAGTATTGTGCGCGTATTATTGCCATGCTCGCTCGCGCGCGCGAAGCGCGTAGTATCACGTACGACGTGATTGACCTCTGCGAGACTTGGACCGAATGCGCACCTTAGTGGCGGAAAACGTCCTAGCCGAATGCCTGATGGAATCGAAATGAATAGTCGTTGTGGACTGCGTATATCTCTTACGCCCTGGGCTTTTCCTCTCTCTCTCCTCCCTCACGAAACGCGGCACGAAAAAAATTATGAATATAATTTATGTAATATATATGACATATATTACAATCAATATATAACCAGTATGAATTTATAAAATATCTATATAATAATTAAATATGAAAAATTACTTATAGAAAATATGGATGTATTGTAAATACATATATAATAATAAATTTAATTTATTTATTTAGAAAATTCATTATTATATGTTGAATAAATATATCTTATTGTAATCTATTTAATATTTAATTCTTTAAAAAAAGAGAGAACATATTTCTTACTACGCATTATAGAATTTTTAAATGTTATTTATGTGAAAATTTATGGAGAATCATTAATAAGAAATTATTTTGTTCGGTTGCATTAATGTATCACGTTCCATATTATATATGATACTGGATATTATTATCCTACATTATATGATTATTCCATTCTGTCGGATATATTTTTCATTTTATTATATTATTTATTTTATTTCCTTAAGTAAAATTAATTTATTAAATATACAACTTAATATTAATTTATTACAAGTACAAGTATTACATTATATACAAATATACATTGCCTTTTCTTTCATTAAATTTTTTAATTTATTTATATAATTCATCCTAAATAAATAAATTAAGACATAAATGTTTAATTATATAATCTGTAAACAAATTTTAAGCTAAATTTTATAAGCTTCGAACTAACGAGCAATTCACAAATCAGCGTTTTTCATAAAAAGAAAAAAACCTATTTGAAAACCATAACTCGTTGTGAACATTATAAGTACAGATTAGTTAAAACAAATTAAAATTTCGAATGCGACAATTTTATATTTGCACACAAATTAAAAATAAATTACGATAAATAAAGAATAATTATTAATTAAACAATAACTTATTATATGTATATACATAGATGTACATAAATAATAATCCAAATCTAGCTATGAAGAAGATTATCACGTGCGTAGCTAATGGCGATCGTACAGAAATTACAAATTAAATCAATACGAATGTCACTATTACTTCAGACAAGACCATGATTATTGTAATAATTAGATCTAAGCGCATGACCGTAGGAAACAAATATCAAAATATGCAACAGGTAGCTTCAGCAAATAACGTTCATCACTTTTGATGGAAGAGAGAATGTGAAAAAACAAACGAATAAATTACTCTGGCCCCAACAAATCTTCAAAAAATGCTTTATATCGTGTCGAAATAATTATGCACAAACACCGGCGTATGGGAAAACATGATTTTTACTCATTTTTACTCACATTTTACCATTATACCATTTATTCCTCCCAACAGCTCATTTCATTATACCTTCATAAAAGTGCAAATTCAAAAGGACGTTCTGAAGGAATCAATGTCCGCTTTTACCTTGTCCCAATTGCCTTCTCCTTCCGTCTCCTCTTAGCAAACATCGATTAATTCTTTTCCTCGAGGCCTTTCGCGACTGTTTCTCGTCACTGGCCTCGACACTCGTTTTGCCGAGTTTTGCACATTTTTAGAAATTCAGGTTGCGTTAAATTGCCGGGCACGAATTGTGTTGGCCGCGTGTTGCGCTCTGATTCGATGGCGGTCACGTCTATGTTGCACGCGAACCTCGATCGCACGCATATGT